GCTGTAAGCCAAAGGAAGAAGAAGATAATGACCATCATGATAATAAAGATAGTAAAAATAATAGTAAACATAATAATAATAATAATAATAATAATAATAATAATAATAATAATAATAATAAATAATAATAATAAGCAGACAGAGAAGAAATCATTGATCACTGGCATCAAGAGAGCTAATGGACTGAAATGGTTGGGGCATATTGAAAGAATGTCAGATGACAGAGAAGTAAAAACTGTATACACCAGGGAAATGAATGGTCGTAGACCACGAGGCAGACCAAGAAGACGATGGAGAGAAAATATACAGACTTGCAAACAATTGGTGTCACCAACTGGAAAGAGAGGGCCAACCAGAGAGATGAATGGAAGCGGGTGATATCTGCAGCAATGAACCTCGAGGTCTCGGAATGCTGAAGAAGAACAAGACACAAATGAAATGTAAGAAATGTATGTATTTTTGTTAGTGTTTAATTCTTCATACACATTTATTAGTTTATTTGCTGCAAATTTTCTCTACATTTATGCCACAGTAATTTAAAAAATAAAGTAAATTATTTAGTTTCTTTTGATCAAGCAAACAGGAAACACCGAAGATGTCAATGCATTTTCTGACTGCTACCTTCCTGGCTCTGGCCCTTGTTGTGGCTACCACAGATTGCAAAGAAAAGTCAAAGCTGATAGAGAGACGAGAGAAGGCAGTGAATAAATATCAAGCACTTAAAAGACTCTTGGATACTGGCGCATGTGAAGCCAACGAGTTCAGATGTTCTGCTGGAGTCTGTATATCAAGTAAAATATATAATAATATTTTATCAAGTTTGCTTTTGTTTGTGTGTTTGTTTGTTTGTCTTTACAGTAATTTCGTTTCGGATCAGAAAGTCGTGAGTTTGGGCCCTGACGTAGCCTGACTTTTTAAAATATTTTTTATTAATGACCTTGGTTCCCAGGTGCAATCCTGATGAAGTAAAGGCTGACCACATCACCCACCAAGTGCCTATTAGTCTATAACTTATTTGTCTAGCCCTATATGCCTAGTGTGCCAAAAGGCGTGGAAAGGGGTAATTTATCTTTCTAACTTGTTAACAGATCCTTTAGGGGGCACGAGAAGTAGCATCACTGCAGCCTACTAGGCTGGTGGTAAAAATGGACTAAAGTAGGGTTGGTCTCGGTATTGGCGACTGCAATCCGTAAAACGCTGTAGTCACACAATCAAAATACCAACACATCAAGAAGTCTCCTGGAAACCACTATGGTAAATGAAAAAAAAAAAGCCACATCGCGCGCGCGCAAGCACACTCACACACATAACACACGCATTTAGATACAAAGGAATTAGATCACGTAGTAAACGTTGGAAGATTATGTGGTGAGCTGCACAAGACAGCAACGGATAAGATCACTCCAGCCGAGAACAAGTGATGACTGTTAATCTGCAACATTGACTAGACTGCAAGAACAACTTTATGTTAAAATGGGTGTGGCCAGACAAGAGTACTATGCAGGAAGCCAAAGAAGAATAAGAAACCAACACAGAACTGGTGTTGTGAGCCGCTACATGCTGAAAATTGACTAAGGAGGGGATCCGAGCAGTTATGGAGTAAGTGGTTTGATGTGTAATGAGGATAACATGTCGACTAACTAACTAACTAACTAACTAACTAACTAACTAACTAACTAACTAACTAACTAACTAACTAACTAACTAACTAACTAACTAACTAACTAACTAACTAACTAACTAACTAACTAACTAATTAACTAACTAACTAACTAACTAACTAACTAACTAACTAACTAACTAACTAACTAACTAACTAACTAACTAACTAACTAACTAACTAACTAACTAACTAACTAACTAACTAACTAACTAACTTGAGCCTAGCAAGAAAATAACCACATAATAATAATAGCTGACGTATATATGTATGCATGTGTATAATTTAAACTGGTTTCTAAAATTGTGATGCAGGCACAATATGTTTACAGCATACGACATAATTATCTGTTTGGAGCATCGCAACATTCTCTGCATTTCTAAAAAACGTTCGCATTATCTTCGCAACCCAAAGCACAGTTCAGGTAATAATGAACACTGCCAGCTCTTGTGTGATTACCATCTTTGGTGAGGCGTTGCGAACGAGTTTCGTAATGCCCGGGTGCCGGGTTCGATCCCAACTGCTGGCCTTGAGCCTTGTGTTAGTTTCAACAGTGGTATCGAGAAGCCGACTGTCCAGGTAGCAATGGCAAACTACTGCACGTAAATGTGTCTAGAAAAACCACAACAGCCGACAAAATGCCTGGGTTGGTTCTGCGATTTCCTGTAAAGGATACGCAATTAACTTTAACTAAGTATGATTACCATGGTAGCAGGTCCTTTGTAGAAAGTTGCTGTCATCACCGACTTCTTGAAAGAAACTCCATCTCCGCCAACTCTCGTGCACTTTTCTACCTAAGTTGTTACTTATATCATGGGCCTATCTTCATTCTGGTCAGCTTCTGTCCCTCTTTCCTGGTACCATGATTTTGCTATTATATTTTCCCATCCGCCGTGGTGCTTGATATGGCCACACTATTTCAATCTATGAGACAAGATGCTATTAACGAGCCAATTTTCCTTGATGTTCATATATTTTGGAATGCCAGTATTTCTTTTCTTCTTTGTCCATTGTATTCTGATAATTTTTCTGTGGCATTTCAACTCAAAAGAACCTACTTTCTTTCTTAATGACTGCTAGTTAGTCGACGACTCCCATCCGTATGTTGCTACAGGGGATTATGCATTCTCTCAAGATTTGTACTCCCATTTTCTTGCTTGTGCGTAACCACAAACTTTTAAAATACGTTATCATAATATATTGTTGTTGTATTCTTTAATCTGAGCATTGGGTGTCTACCAGATACAGGGGTCATCACATTAACTTCTTGTGTGGGTTCCTGGGCCCTATTATAGGCTAAACAAGAATAGACCCACTGCCTACCCAAAAGCATGTCGTAAGAGTCGATTAATTAGGAGCTTCTTTCGAAGTCAGTGTGCATCTGCTTGAGAGGAACCAGCAGTCCGCATACAAATGAGTCAGATTGGTAAAACGGTTGCACATGCAGCACTCGGGTTCTGGAACAGGACTGAAGTCCAGAAATTGACTAACAACCAGAAATTTCTGTCAGTTTACAGATGGTGAACGTGAATAAGAAGAAGAAGATCCCAATAACACCACGTGTACGTGTTCGCACTTTCGCATCCGTCTTTGCTTCTATATATCTTTTACATTAACCGCATTTCAAAAATAATTCACAACCTGACTGTACAGAATAAGCAAGTCTATGTGTCCGTTTCCCAACACACTGGCATGCCCCGGAGAAAGTATTCGAAGGACGCTCACTACCCACACTTGGTAGGCAATTTATTTATGACAAGCTGGATGTTGCGATGGCCCTTTGGAAGAGAGTAAACAGTGCAGAGGGAAAATACAACATTACGGTCTCAGGAAGGGCTATACAACTAAGTTTACTCAGGGGCCACATTTGTTTTAATTGGGGATCGTCAGGCCAAAGTCATGAGCCCAAGCATTGACAGATCATTAATATCGTACAATTGGCAATAATCCAAGGGCCATTTGCTAGGTCTCCGCTGGCCAGATGTGGTCCGCGGGCCGCCAGTTAAATAGCCCTGGTCTAAATAGAATGGCGCTGAAAGGAGTTACGAGGGTATCTGGCTGACGCTTAACACTCAGAGAAAGATATACAATCAGACTTTTACTGGTACCATCGGAATTGGAACTCTTCGCTTGCTGCTGAAGATTTGGACGGAGCACTTATGGGAGTGTCCCGAGTGTTGTGATGTCGATTCTTAAGTCAACATTCAACAACCACTACTCACTTCCCTTACATGCAGCCTGTCATCATCTTTCTGAGAAATTTTTGTAAAGAACGTCAGCCATTCGATTTTCTAGGAATCCTCAAGTACTTCTCCATCCTAAAACAGCTCCCCATGTATAGTTAGTTAATCACAGAAGTCAGACGAGGATTGTCACAACAGACATTTTGAATGTTAAACTTTGCAGCCACCGCTGGTTAGCGACAGAGAACTGCAAACCCAAGAACTGATGAGTTTAGGCTTTTTTTGGACTTTTTCGACGTATGTATGTATACTCTTCTTCTTCAGGACTTTGAGATCTTGGGTTTATTACCGCCAGATATCATCCGCTTCTAATTATCTTTTTGACTAGTCTTCTCTTTCCAATTACCGATTTCTTGTGAGTAGTATTCTACGTTTCAGAGCCATAGAAAACAGCTAGAACTGTCTTCTTCTTCTTATCTGTACCCCTGTAATGCCTCGCTGCGTCACGGCAGGAAGAAATCTCTGGAATTGACCCTTCTGTTCGCTTCGTATAAAGTAATTGTCAGTGTCTCTGATATTTTTGCCCTTCATCTTCTGCGTGGTCGACCCTTGACCCTGTTACCGTTGTATCAGTATAACATTGCTCTCTGTGGTGCCTGTCAGATGCCAATCTTGTTATATGGCCAAACCATTTAATTTTTTTTGTTTACCTATAAAGATCTATTGGTTCTGTGCCGACTCTCCTCCTGAAATCATTATTCCTTAAGTCGATCTGTATTCCTTACAACTAGCATAGTACGTAAACATTTCAATTCTGTCGTGATTATTTTCCTAGAGTGATCAGCGTTTCATGTAAACGAGTGATTGTGTGTGTGTGTGTGTGTGTGTGTGTGTGTGTGTGTGTGTGTGTGTGTGTGTGTGTGCACACGCGGGCACTCGCTACACATTAAACACACACAAAAGATTGAAATAATATTGTTTGTGTGTTTCAGATGATGAGGTATGTGATACACATAACAATTGTTACAATGGAGAAGACGAGCAGAACTGTCCAACAGACTGCACGGGACAAAACCAGTTCAAGTGTGAGAACAGCGACAAGTGTATTGGAATTGTAGACAAATGTGACGGGCATGCAGACTGCACTGACTATTCAGACGAAGCTTTTTGTGGCAGTTTTGCATGTCCCGCCGGGAGATTTAAGTGTGCCACTTCTAACGAATGTATTCAGTCTTTCTTTGTCTGCGACGGACTGGAAGACTGTAAAGACAAGTCCGACGAAAACAATTGTTACAACACTACTTGCCTCATCAGCGGTCACTGGAATTGCGCCGACAAGAGTAAGTGTATACTCGGTTCCTATGTGTGTGACGGCTTCATCGATTGCGCAGATGGCAGTGATGAGATGCCTTGCTCCTGTTTAAGCTCTCAGTTTAAATGCACCAACGGACTATGCATACCAACGAATTATCAGTGCGACGAGGACGATGACTGTGGAGATACCAGTGACGAGCTGAACTGCCCAGCACTTCCAAGTAATGTCTGTCGGGACGTCTTGACCTACAATGATTGTTTCCACATGAACGAAACGACACATCCAATCTGCTTAGTTTACTCCGACGGGGATAAATTCTGTCGCAAATTCTGCGGATTTTGCAGTTAATGTCATCTATTAAATTTCGACCATCGATATTAAATTTATTGTCGGTCATTATGTGTTTTAGTGAGTCCTTTTAATTATCTTCTTGTTCTTGTTCTTCTGCTTCTTCTTTGTTCACCAGCAAACTCAGGCGGAAAGTCCTGGTTGTTCATCTATGAAGACTTTGACTGTGGCAGGGTTTGAGTTTTGCGTGCATATCAGGTTTACTGGCTTATTTGTGTGCAGCTGGTTGTTCCTTGCCGTTCGGGCAGATGCACTCTGACTTTGAAGGAAGTCCCCCAATTAGTCGAGTCCTACGACATGCTTGTTGGGGAGGAGGTGGGTCTATTCTTGCTTTCCGCACAATGTGGCCCCAGAACCCGCACAGAATTTTAAAATTATGAATTACACAATTTATCATTCATCTGAAAATCGCCGACGAGTGTGTCGTTCACTAAATCATATGTATAATAAATTAACTTAAGGACAGGTCACACATATTCGGTCTATTACTGAGAAGAAGAAATATCAAGAAAATGAGAATAACTGAACAACAAAACTTTAGAGTAACACTCAACATCAAGAGGCGAAATCATAAACATATTCAGTATTCAAGTAACGATGTAGACAACGACAGGAGAAGTAAAGTAAAGGTCCCTTTACATGCCTAGAGTGCATCGAGCATATGAGGCCAGACTCATAATTTTAGACCAAACGCCCCCCCCCCCGCACCCCATGGGTCATCTGGTCAACAACGGGCCGGCCACCTTTACTCCCCGGGACGATTTAAGACAGGGTCGACCTGGGAGGCAATGTAATGTTTGAAACATTTCCGTCACCACGTGGATTTGAACCCACGATTTTCGGATCCACAGTCGAGCGTCTAAGCGCTTCACCACGGCGGGCTCGATGAACCGATGGTAGATGAGATACTGACATGAAAATACCAATACAAAAGACAAAACGATATGTCACAGTCTTTTTTGTTTTTGTTTTTGTTTTTGTTTGTGGAATTCAAAGGAATTATAAATAATACCAAACATAATATTTAATTCATGTATGGAATCGATACTGCTGCATAGACTAGACGGCAACTAAAACAACACTTCATTTTCTTCTTCTTTGCGCTCACCGGCTGTAAACTCAGGTGGCAAGTTCTAGTTGTTTGTTAACTTTGGTGGCAAGTTCTAGTTGTTTGTTAACTCAGGTGGCAAGTTCTAGTTATTTGTTAACTCAGGTGGCAAGTTCTAGTTGTTCGTTAACTCAGGTGGCAAGTTCTAGTTGTTTGTTAACTCTGGTGGCAAGTTTTAGCTGTTCGTTAACTCAGGTGGCACGTTCTAGTTGTTCGTTAACTCAGGTGGCAAGTTCTAGTTGTTTGTTAACTCAGGTGGCAAGTTCTAGTTGTTTATTAACTCAGGTGGCAAGTTCTAGTTGTTTGTTAACTCAGGTGGCAAGTTCTAGTTGTTTGTTAACTCAGGTGGCAAGCTCTAGTTGTTCGTTAACTCAGGTGGCAAGTTCTAGTTGTTTGTTAACTCAAGTGGCAAGTTCTAGTTGTTTATTAACTCAGGTGGCAAGTTCTAGTTGTTTGTTAACTCAGGTGGCAAGTTCTAGTTGTTTATTAACTCAGGTGGCAAGTTCTAGTTGTTTGTTAACTCAGGTGGCAAGTTCTAGTTGTTTGTTAACTCAGGTGGCAAGCTCTAGTTGTTCGTTAACTCAGGTGGCAAGTTCTAGTTGTTTGTTAACTCAAGTGGCAAGTTCTAGTTGTTTATTAACTCAAGTGGCAAGTTCTAGTTGTTTGTTAACTCAGGTGGCAAGTTCTAGTTGTTTATTAACTCAGGTGGCAAGTTCTAGTTGTTTGTTAACTCAGGTGGCAAGTTCTAGTTGTTTGTTAACTCAGGTGGCAAGCTCTAGTTGTTCGTTAACTCAGGTGGCAAGTTCTAGTTGTTTGTTAACTCAGGTGGCAAGCTCTAGTTGTTCGTTAACTCAGGTGGCAAGTTCTAGTTGTTTGTTAACTCAGGTGGCAAGCTCTAGTTGTTCGTTAACTCAGGTGGCACCTCCAACTTCTAAACGCATAAAACGCTTTAAACAAGGATTTAAACAATCATTCGAAAAATTTAATCTCTAGTAAAATAAACATGTGCCTGAAGGCGTTGAAAAGTTTTCTCACTTGAGTTAGAGTAAAATATTAACGTAGCTATTATAATAACACTCTTGTCATAAAGTCAGTGGTGTCTTGGCTTGGCTCCATAGCTAAACTACTGTTGAAAACTATACAGGTGTTTCGGCAATCGGATTCGCATTTTCCCGACTTTCCAGTCGATAGTGTTATACTGTTTCGCAGGGAGGCATAGGTCTCACAGCCCACATCGGTGGCGATTGTGACTAGCAAGACCCGCCTGCGTTCAAAGAAAAGTCTTTGCGTAAAAAAAAAAAAAAAAAACTCTTCCACAATTATAAAATATGATTTTAGGACCGTTGTTATCAAAATTTGTGTTTAGTAGCTCACATCATTTCTTGAATAATTTCTGCCTTCATTCATATTCCCTTCCTGATGTACCCCCTCCACACAACACAGTCCATGGCATTTTGACGATCGACGATCTACATAATAAATTAATGGTTGACGCAAACGATACAAAGATAAAGATTGCGTTTCCATGTTTGTAACTATCGTGTCCATTATTGGTGTATATTGTTTCACATCGTGTAAAACTGTTTCCCTTCTCACACTGATAAGTTCTTATCTTTAACTTCCCAATAAATAGACAATTACAACTCATGTTCCATTAATTAGCTTTCAGCTGGGAATATAATAAGGTAATGTGCGTATGTTTTAAAACCCAATTAATTTATTAATTTTTACTGGCTCTTGAGGTGGGGTTGGTGGGGGAGGGGGGGATCACTGGGTATAATCCTTTGGTCAGATATGACTGAGCTACCCTATAACAGTAGCCGGTACCACCTGTTTTCTGTTACGCCGAATGTTAGGCCCAACATCCCATATTGTGTCAGTGCGGAGGAGCGCATTTGGGACGATACTAGCCTTATCCTAGGAAGAGGAACTGCAACCTGAAAAATGTGTGTTATGGCAGGGCAGACCAGACCCTTCGCCTTGGCTGGCAGCTGGTCTAGGAGGGAAGCTCCGACAGGCGGACATATAAGCACTGCTCTTCTGATCCGGCAGCTTCTGCGACATGCCTCGTTCCAAACGTACTGGTTTTACCTTTCCTTTGGAGTAAACAAGGCAGATCGAGAGAGGGATCATTATGCATGGGCAACATATGGTCTCTACAATACTGCCCAGGCTTTGTGCTATGGAGAGGAGGAACTTCATCCCTGGCCCTAATCGGTCTCGGAAACAAATCGAGAGGCAGCAGTTGCGGGTTATAAATCCTTGTCATTTGGTGGACTTTTCTTGACACGGGCGGGTCTTGCTAGTCACACTCGCCATCGCCATGGGCTGTGAGTCTCACGCCTCCTCATAGCCCAATATAACACTATAGTCTGGAAAGACGGAAAGGTGCCAATGATGAATGAATCCTTGTTTAAGCTATAATAGTAGTAAAATGAGTATATATAGATCCTACAGTGTAGTGTTTATATTCTTCTCTCCGGTCACCGTCTGTAAACTCCAGCGGAAAATTATGGTTGTTCATCCTCTTCTGGACAGTTTCATTCCTGTCCCAGAACTTGAATTTTGCATGACATACGTTTCACAGATCTGGTTTAATTGCATGCAGACTGTTGTTTCCCCGCCTCTAAGACAGTTTCACTCCCCAGTTAGTGACCGATTATACAGTTGAGATCATTAAAGTGAGACGGATGAGATGGTTTGGTCATCTGAGAGCCACGTTGAAGAAACAGAATGATCACAGACCAAGGGGAAGCCATGCAAAAATGGAACGACGGCTTTCGATTTTCAACTGCCAAGCCATTTTTTTTTACGTACGCAACAATGCACACGGGTGTCCGATCTCACTACCCAGAGACCAGGGGGAATTATTAGAAGTTCAAATCCACGTGAAAAAATTCCAGCCCTTACCGGGGATTGAACCTCTAGCACTCGATGCTGACACCATGCTTCGAGATCACTCAGCACCCCCCCCCCTTTTTCCACATCCTACAATACATCAGACAGAGCACACAATAGATAATCACATCTCCTCTAGAACCCCGACAAGGTAACTAGAGTAAAAGCTTAAGAAGGCCAAGATTATGCCTTCTTTACTTGCAAACGTAAGTTAACCTGTTTTCAGTTGTTTTGCTGTTCTCCAGCAATCATCAGGAAAGATTGGCCATGTTCAGAGACCTTTTCATTACCGCCTTCTTGGCACTGGCAATTCTTGTTGCTACCACAGACTGTGAGGAGAAATCAAAACTGAAAAGAAAACGGGACAAATCTGTGGAGAAACTCCAGACACTGACAAGACTCCTCCTGGTGACTACAACCTGTGAGGCTAACGAGTTCAGATGTTCTGTAGGAATCTGTATATCAAGTAAGATTTTCATTTTCTTTGACATTTTCCCAAGTTAGGGAATTTAAATATCTAGGAAGTATGATCACGGAAGATGGTAGAATTGACTAAGAAATTGAAACCATATGTCAGAAATCAAGTGCACTTATATACCAATTGTCACCATTATTAAGACATCCAAATATAACTATGAGTGCAAAGAGACAGATTAAATACAGCATATTCATTCCAACATTAAGCTACCAGTGCAAAACATGGACACTGTCTAAAGCCTGTTTACCCAAAATCGCCACCTACGAGATAAGGTGCCTGAGAAAACCGCCAACCTAACCATCCGAGGTCGAGTGAATTATGATACTATCAGACAAACTGTGGAAAAGACACCTTTTACTAGATTTATGGAGAGAAACAGCAGATCAAGTGGTTTGGCCATCTCGTTGGAAAGGAATAAGATCAAATACCATCAAATACTACATCTCAGAAAATCAGCTACAAAAGCAAGAGGCTGGACGCAAAAAATCATGGATCGACAACATTAAAGACTACGCCTTCACGGCATGACAATACCCAGTGTCAGACAGCAAGCACTGTCTTTTTCTGCCTTTCTATTCCCCAATGGAGCATAGGCCCTCAACCAACTCAAGCCAAACCGTTCTATCCTTCGCCATTACATGGAGCTCTCCCCATGTCCTCCCCATCTTTCTAACTTCATTCTCCAGCTCTCTCCCCCATGTGTTTCTTGGTTTTTCTTTATTCCTATGCCCCTGTAGGTTCCAATGCAAACACATTCTAGTTATGATGTTCTCCTGTTTTCTCAGCCTGTGTCCTATCCAACGCCAGCGACATTTCCTCACCTCTTGGTCCACTGGAGCCTGCTTAGTTCTCTACCAAAGCTTTACGTTAGTTTTTCTATCATACCATTTAATTCCCTCTATTCTGCACAGGCACCAGTTAATGAATGTCTGTAATTTATTATTAATTGCCTTAGTTGTTCTCCACGTTTCCGCCCCACACAAAAGTACTGATTTGACATTGGAATAAAAAATTTTTAGTCAAGTATTTCTTTTAATTTCTTTTGTGCGTGCACTGTATCGCATATTATTCCTCCATATTCAGCAGCAGTGGTTTATGATGATGGTGAATAAATTTTCCACTGTATCGTCGGTAGCGCAGTAGCTAGCTTGCATTTTGCAACGTTTCCCGAGTGTTATGTCAATCAAAATAAAATCAATAAAATGGGAAAAAAGCTAGTGGACCGGGAATAAAGGCAAGACCACACCATCCACTGCTTGCAGATGAGTCAGGAAATATGTATGGCTAGCATAAGCTACAGGTGGTCTTTTAGAGTGGTAGTACTGCAGCCTAGCAGGCTTGTAAAGGAGTCTCCCGGTGTGGATTCCGGGGCCCCACTGGGGGTTTTATGAAATAGACCCACCGCCTACCTAACAAGCGTGTCATCCAAGCGTATAGCACACAATATTCACACCCTCTGTTTTAACTGATTAGCACATTTTTTTTTTTTTTAATGTTGAGTTTCTATTTCCTACTTACAATATTAACATTTCAAGCTTAGAGCGTGCAAAAAAAAAAAAAAAAATTCATTTTTTTAATCCTCATTGCTTGAACATACGACTTTCGGCTCCCCAAGCCAGCGGATTTTTGTTGGACTTTTTTTTTAACCCTCCAGAAATTGAATTTGGCCTCAGTTTGACCTAGCATAAAATAGATACCAAGTAACGTCATAGGAAGCAAAAACAGCCAGCGTGACGCTGACTACACCATATACAGAGTGCTGATTGGTACATACACCATAGGTCTAAAGCTTATACCAAATACGCCTTGGAGGAGTGGGTGGGCGAGGGGAAGTTCTTTACTTTATCTTCTTTATTAGCCAGAGAAAACCATCAGGGGCAATAATTTCTTAACAACCCCCCCCCCCCCCTCTCTCTCTCTCTCTCTCTCTCTCTCTCTCTCTCTCTCTCTCTCTCTCTCTCTCTCTCTCTCTCTCACACACACACACATGATTATATTAATTTTGTTTGTTTGTTTCAGATGATGAGGTATGTGATACACATAACAACTGTTTCAGTGGAGAAGACGAGAAGAACTGTCCAACAGACTGCACGGGACAAAACCAGTTCAAGTGTGAGAATAGCGACAAGTGTATTGGAATTGTAGACAAATGTGACGGCAATGCAGACTGCACTGACTATTCAGACGAAGCTTTTTGTGGGAGTTTTGAATGTCCCGCCGGGAGATTTAAGTGTACCACTTCTAATGAATGTATTGAATCTGACTATGTCTGCGACACAGAGGTTGACTGTCAGGATAGTTCAGACGAGAAGAACTGCCACAGCCTTACATGCAGCAGCGGTCAATGGCAATGTGCCGACCAAGACAGATGTGTTCCTAATTCCTTCGTATGTGACGGCTACAGTGACTGCTCAGATCACAGTGACGAACGGGTTTGCTCGTGCTCTGGCACTCAGTTTAAATGCACTGACGGATTATGCATACCACGTGGATATGCATGTGACGGAGACAATGACTGTGGAGATAAGAGTGACGAGCTCAACTGTCCGGCACTTCCAAGTAATGTATGCAGGGACGTCCTGACATATGAAGATTGTTTCCACATGAACGAAACGACGCATCCAATCTGTTTAGTTTACGCCGATGGGGATAAATTCTGTCGCAAATTTTGCGCATTTTGTAGCTGATTACATACATCTAGTTTCAACTAATTTTCCTGCTAGCGACTGGGCATTCATAGGTATGCGAAATATGTCAGGCTGTTAACTAAGATTAAATTTATTGTCGGTCATTATTTGTGTTTTGTTTGTCTGTATAACTTATTATGATTACAGTTTTTCATTGACTTTGAGGAATATAGTAATCTCGCCATCCCCTTGTGGGATGCAAATGTTATCTTTTTGAAGCCCCACCTGGCCTTTGCCAGGAGCCCTAAATATAGCCGGGCCTGAAATATGGCCTAGCGGCTGAACGGGTTTTCTGGGACCTCTCCACGGGTGATCCTCATCCGCATGGTGACACTTTGTGTCACCGGGTGTTTGTCGATTGTGCAATGTCCTGGTGGGGTACACTTACCTACCAACCTACCTTCACTTGGAAGTTTCTGACCTCGTCTTTGGAAATTACTTAGATAATAATTTGACTTGATGGGGGATCATAAAACTTATGTCTGAAAATCAATAGAAGCAGGACAATGAGAAAAACTGACGCAAACAATAATACAACGTTTCGGTTCAAACTCAAACTCAAATAGATATGGTGAAATAAAACGCCCATTTAAGTAATAATGTTGACAACGATGGTGAAATGGATGCATATATCAAAATAAGAGGAGGAAAAAAAGAGGCTAAAGGAGCCCTCATAGATATTGGGAATTTGTAAAGTAAAATTGCAAAGAATTGAAGACATTGTTACAAATGTAAAATGTTTCGGTTCCAGCAGAGTTTAATTCCTTCTCTTCTATTTTAAACATTATTTCAAAAAATTGAAACATGCACGCATCTGAAAGGGTTTACAAGACAGCTCTATAAGCTGCAACACATACAAACATAAAATTATGGTCATTTAAATTATTCAAGCAACTGGACAGCTTTTAACAAGTAAACACAACACAATTTGCCATTCTTCTTCTTCTTCGCTTTCACCAGCTGTTAACTCTGGCGGAAAGTTCTGGTTGTTCATCCACTTCTGACTGCAATCCTGTTCCAGAACCTGAGTGTTGCGTGTGCATCCGTTTTACAGAGTTGACTCGTGTGTATACAGACTGCTGGTTTCTGGCCTCCCAGGCAGACGCAATCCGACTTTGAAGGAAGCTTCCAATTACGACATTCTTTTTGATAGGCAGTGGGTCTATTCTTGTTTTCCCTATAACAGGGCCATGGAAGCCACACGGGGACACCATGACATGAAAGTTGAGGTCTAGGATACTGAATGGGCCCGTGTTTCAGGTCTTTTAACAACATTTTCTGAGTATGTTATGGACTTACATGGTCTTTCAGTGCTTTTCTGAGTAAGTCGCTACTTATTGCGCATCTTGCCATATTTACCCCAGACCAAATAGATTATTAAACTTTCCTGGACACTATATATATATATATATATATATATATATATATATATATATATATATATATATATATATATATCCGTATGTTTGTTTATCCGTCTATCGGTCTGTTCATCCCTCCGTCTCTGTCCATACATCCGTCTGTCTGGCCATCACGCCATATGTCCTCGGTCCATCGATCCATCCATCCGTCGATTCATCCATTCATCCAGATGCCCTGATGACCACATGAAGCACCATTCTCCTCAGACCGCGATGATCTACCTGTCCCTCCACTCTGTTCACTAACTTTCAAAGGTCCCTGACAACACCTCGATTGTCATACATCAGTTCACCAACAAATGGTACACAACCAGCCAGTCTACTTTCATGTTTGTTTACCAAAATACCGGTACTACCTGGAGAAAATATCCCATGCAGACTAGCTACCCGAGACCTCTGAAGCCATACTTTCCAGTCTGTACGGGGCATACCTGTCTCCACCTTTCTCAACATTTCTCGCTGAGTCAGTTACAAAAACCACATGTGTATGCAGCTAGTTTTTTAAACCAGCGGAAGTTTGCAGTGACTGCCTTTAGCTCCATTCTCAAACTAGATATTATGGAATTATATATCTAGCTTTGTTATACTAAACAACTTCAATTCGCTTTTGCTATGACACCCCTTCCCCATCATTTTCTTCTGCCGCTCAACGCAGAGACAGAGCTCGTCGTAAGAGCCGACTAATTACGGGTCTTTGTTTCAAAGTCAGAGTCCATCTGCTTGAGAGGCAAGGAACCAAAAGTCTGTATATAAATAAGCGAATCAAGCTGAAAGTCAAGGAGTGGACGAACAGCATGAGCTTTCGGCCGTTAATTTACAGCCAGTGAACGCTAAGAAGAAGAAGAAGACGTCCATACACCAACACTGGCACTATTCAGATCTGAAGAACTCTTATCCTCACCTCAGTTAACAAAGAAAAATTGCATAGGGTTTCAAAACTAAACCAAACAAACCCGGCTAAATTCATATAATTTTATAATCGCCAAATTAAAGCATTACGTATGTCCCTCTGTTGCTATCAGTGAATGCTTTCTTATCTTATCGTCCTCTGGTCTGTATTTTATGTTTGTTAAACTAGATGGTTTTTTTTTTTTTTTTTCTGCCAGATTACTCGAGTATTCTTATATTATCCGCAGGATTCTCCCTTTCCATGAACGTTTATTTGCCAGCTTGTCTTAAACTTTTTGTTCTATTCACACAACCATTTTTGTTCCAAGAAATGAATTTGTCTAGTATCAACTACAACATCACTTCTTCAACATTCAGAGCACTTAGGGATTATTGCTGCAAATACACTAAAATCTCTTTACGAGTTCCTAGGACTGAAAATTAACTCTGTCCTAAAATTCTTTTACTGTATCGCACGTCCCCATATTATACTCTGTCATTGTCCTTCTCTTTCAAGCTGGTGAGTCTAAATGCTCTAGGTTGCCTGTATATAATCTCTCCACGATCTTCTTGGTCTGCCTCTTGTCTACTCCCAGTTAATTCTGGTAATCTCCCTACATGGTAGGTAGGTAGGTTGTACCACACCAAGACATCACACAAGCGATAAACACCCGGTGACACAAAGTGCCACTATGCGGATAAGGATCACCCGCGGAGAGGTCCTAGAAACCCCGTTGGGCCGTTAGGCCACATTTAAGGCCCGGCTATGTTTAGGGCATTGCATCCCACATGATGACGATTGATTTTATACTCCCCCCCCCCCCCCAGATGCTGTGTTAGCCTCGCCTATATCAACACTAAGTCACTCCTCGTTGGTAGTTCCCGAGCCTCGTGTCCTTCACAAAGTTTAGGGGGTTTTCCGCGATACCGTTGATAACGCGTGTTGCACATTTCAGCACGCCAGTGCTTTTAAACTCCAAAAACATGGAGAACTGGCCCTAACACAAACCCTTACTAAAGTGCTGGAACCTATGTCACAGGCATTCTCTTTCTCGGAATGGAAACGTAAATGGAACACAATACAAAAAGCAAAACAACAGAGCGGGACACACCCGTAACCTTCAGGAAAGTCGACTAGCCCAACAAACTTGTGAATGAAAAGTTACTTACTCTATTGGGGAAGATTTGCGTTAAACTCACCTCAATTCCTTCATGTTCGCAGTTTAATTGTGACACAACCAACCTAATGTCACTTGTTCAGTTGACTCCCGGATTAACAAGAAGCTGGAGGTCATATGCTGAGTCTCCAGTCTCCCTGAGAGTGTTCAGAGGTCACTTTCGAGAGTTTTTGAGGGAAAAAAGGTGGGGCTGGGGGGGGGGGGGGGGATAGACAAACTGCTTCATACCAAGCGTCTTCTTGAAGGCGACTAATTCATAAATATCGGTATAAATATGTGACAGGTAAGTTACGGAGATGAGGGGGGCGGGAAGGGGGAGGGGGGTTTTGAGAAAAAGGCCCTCTGAGGTATCGGCTAGACGCTCACCTATGCATTCGAAAGTTGTGGGTTCAAATCGAGTAGCATTTAAAAAAAAAAAAACAACTCAATTTTGGCTCCCAGATCGACGCAGCTGTAACAGAAAAAGCGACAGGAAGTAAAGACGACCGGTATAATGTTGACTATATCACCCACCAAGTGTCGATTGGTCTAGAATATACAAGTCTAGCTTTATATGCCCAGGTTTAGAATATACAAGTCTAGCTTTGTATGCCCAGGTTTAGAATATACAAGTCTAGCTTTATATGCCCAGGTTTAGAATATACAAGCCTAGCTTTGTATGCCCAGTACCTGTTGAAAAGGGTCCTTTACTTTGTATGTTAGAAGCAGTCCGTAAAAATGAACCCAATGTTGTCAGTACAAGAAGCAAATGGCTAAACCGGTACACGTAACGTTAATCACCTCACGTCCCACACTATGTCACTTCTATTGGTAGTTCCTGAAACTCTCACCTTGGCACAAGGTTACGTGAGTGTTCCTCAACGCCATTGACATGTACCATTGTATGTTTCAGCACGTCAACGCTTATAACACTCCAAAAATACGGAGAAACTGGTTCCAACACAACCCCCCTAGAGAGTGCTGCAACCTATGTCACTGGCATTCTCTTTCTCATAATGAAAACTTAAGTGCAAGACAACACAGAAAGCAAACAAAAGAGCGGGACACACCTGTAATCTTCAGCAAAGTCGACCAGCCCAACTAACTTGTGATTGAAAAGTGACCTGCTTTGTTTCAGAAGATCTACGTGAGCCTAACCGACTAAACCACTTAGCTGCGGATAAATAAACTACAGACATCAAACTGTTGGCTGTTTGTGTGGTAAAGGCCTCTCCAGGGTCTGCCTGGCAAAGAGCTCATCCCACTTGCCCTGCGCCAGGCCGTGGGTTAGTTTCACGTACACGTGGTCAGCTCACCAATGCAGTTTTTACGGAGATCGTCTCTGGAGCTACCTGATTTGTTCTTCATTCGAGGCTTTCGGTAGGCAGCAA